TTATTTTATTTTATTTTTTTTCCTTTTTCTGTGTCCGGCAACGGATCACAACCCTCAGTGTTGCCCCCGTACCGGACCGGGACTGGCAACGGGATCGCAACCCTCGGTGTTGCTCCCCTGCCTCGCTCAGCCAGTGAGCGGGAACCGGTCTGTATGTGGGATCCGAACCCTCGGCGGGAGCGCCGCCGCACTTCCCAAGCGGCGCACTATAGCAGTGCGCCACCGGGCCGGCCCCTGCAGTTTACTTTTAAGCTATATTTATACATCCAAATATTATAAATTACTCTGAACTTTCAAATCAGGCTTAATGTCAAATATATGAATTAATTTCAAGAGCAAACCAAAAGAGAAAATATAAAATCCCAACCTGGATTCTTAGTTTAAAATTTGAAAGTCAGCATATTTAAAAGTATCTGACATTATACCTCAGTATACAAACTGTGTTTGCATAGAGAAAAACCTGTGGGAAATCATGTTTTTGACAGATGGATGATAGGAGGAATATAGCTTAATATAAAGGCAAGACAAAACATGGGGAATTTCAAGTCTAAATGAAATGAAAATCCTGATGAAATTCAGTTTCTTTGTGGTTGCAATCTTATGATTGTACAGTTTCTCTGTGTGCCAAGGGAAATAGAAAGACTGATGTTAATGCTGGGCTAGGTTTGCTTGTCTTTTAATACAGCACTAATCGTAGTTCCACATTTTTTTTTCCTTCCTTCAAAGGGATTCTTAAAGTATTTTATTTTACCTTAAAAATATGTTTAGGGAGTTTATTTAAAAGGTAGAGAGTACTGGCAGTTTTAAAATAATTAAATGTAACTTTTATATAGGGAGTAACAGTCTAGGAAAATAGGCTAGGCCATCAGCTGCCCAAGATACTTGCTGAATGCCAGAATTTACATGGAACTGAAGCAAAAGTTTACTGTTTAAAAACTAGATGTTATTGCTGTGGACAGATAAGTTCTCTATTTGAGATGTGTAAAGATTTATGCAGTGAATTTAAATCAGTGAATTGAAACAGCATTTACTGATTGTTAGATAGGATAGGTAGTTCCTGACCTCAAGAAATTTCTGGTATAGTGGGGAAGACTGACAAGTTACTGTGATATTTTTGTATTTCTAAGTGTAGGGAAATCCTAAGAACACAGATGTGGAAGGGAAGGAGTTTGGAGAAAGATGGTCAGGAAGGGCTTCATAGAGAAAGGTGATACCTGAGCTAGACCTTTTAAGAATTAGCAGGATTATACCAATATTCAAATGAAACTAGAGCATTCAACCATAGAGAGACTCTCAAAATATCACTCATCCTTACCCCTACCCTCATTCATTTATTTTTTCTATTTGCTCTCATTTAGAGCAAATTGAAAGGGTTCGTGGCCCATTTTATGAGCCCTATTTCTAATATAATTTTTGGGCTTATGCAAAACTGTAGGCTACCTTTCCTTGCGTGACCATTCCTAGACTAATTTTTCTAAGTTAGAAAAGAGAAAAAGAAAACCAGGTTCAGCTTCTCTGGCTCCTTCTGTGGCTTGTTGACCAATGCCTATTTGTCTCCCTCTTCCCTTACTGGTAACTACCTCTCACAGCATCTCAGAAGTTGAAATCATGCATGTGATATTACTTAGGAAAAGAGTACATTGGTGGGAATAATGTAAGAAATCTTTATAGGGTAGATTATTATAAGTAATAAGTTTTGGATACATTTTCAAGTCAATGCTATGTGGTATCATCCTAATACCTATATCATAGATGTGATTAGCCCAGTTTATTCATTAGTAATCCAAAGTAAAAAAAATGGTAACGATACTATATTAGTGAACAAAATAAACATAGCATATTTATTTCATATTTATTTTATCTTTTTTTTTTTTTCACTGCCTTTACAGACGAGCCTTGAACTTAGGAATTCTTCGAGATCCTGGATCAGAAATTGAAGATAGACAATATCAAATAGACCTGCAGTCCATCAATATTGGTACTGCACAATGGGATCAACTAAAACCAGAGAAGGAAAGTAGTACAGGAGGTGTGCTAACAGAGAGTGAGAGGAATTCTCAAAATCCAGCCCTTGAGTGGAATATGGCCAGCAGGTAGGAAATAATTAAGAAACTTTCTACACTTTGTTACACTTCATGGCTGGAAAAACAGTTGGTGATGTAATCTTTAGCATGTCCAACCTATGCGTTTTGGTATTGCTTCTGCTTTTCATTATAAACATAAAATATATTTTGTAATTGTAGATGGTGATTTTGCTTGGAACCCTGCTAGTACTACCACTTTTACATTGTAATTATTTTTCTTTACAAGTTTGCTATTTGATGAAAGGATCCACTTCAGGCCAAAGGATACATTCACATTTTCTCTTGAAATCCATTGTATTTGGTGTCAATCATTTTATTTATTTATTTTTTAGCCTCTCTTTTCTGCTTCTAATAAGAGGAGAAAAACAGCTGATACTGTGTGAAATTATGTTTAAGTTAGAGTGGGGGGAAAACAAGGGTTTCTAGCTCTGGGTTTTTTTATCCACTTTAAAAATGTTTTCTGGGCTTTTAGTTAAAGGAATTAGTCTTGAATGTGAAGTGTTAAGATGACAGAGAGCCATTGCCATTTTACCCAGGCTGTTTGTGTTTCACATCAAAGATACAGGTACAATTGTTTGCTAGAAAAATGGACTAGAAATTAAGGGTACTTTTGCATTGTAAAATTGGAGGTCTTTATAATTTTAAGGAAATGTTTGTTACTTTTTATGCATTTTTCTACTTATAAGATAGAATCAGTAACATCTGTTGCTTGTAACACCTTATGGTGGTTTGTTGGTTGCATTTCGTTTAAACATCTTCTGCAGACTTTGTTGCATGTTTGATTCTTTTGTAAAAAATTTTTTTTTAATTTATTTTTTTTATTGTATATGTTTATGGGGTACAGTTTGTTGTTTCAATACATACATGTGTTTTATAATGATCTAATCTGAATAGTTAGCATATACATCACCTAAAAATCTATCATTTCTTTATGGTTATAACATCAGTATCCTCTTTTCTGGCTATCTTCAAATATACAGTACAATATTATTAGCTATTGTCACCCCACGACACCAGAACCTAGTCTTCCTATCTAACTGTAACTTTGTAACTTTGTACCAGTCTGCCAACCTGACCCCGGCCGCTGCTTCCGTACCCTCCTTTCCCTGTCTCTGGTAACCACTGTTTTATTCTCTATTTCAGTCTTTTTTCTCTCTTTTTAATTTATTTTTCTTAACTGACCCATAATAATTGTATGTATTTAAGGAGTACGATATATTTTGGTACATACATTCATACCGTGTGCAATGGTCATTTCAGGGTGCTTAGATCCATCATCTCAAACATTTGTCACTTCTTTGTGTTAGGAACATTCAACATCATGATGAATAGCTATTCAAAGTTACACAGTACTTTGTTGTTAACTGTAGTCTCCCTATATTACTATAGAACCCTATGTCCCATTCTTCCAATTTAATATTCTACATTCACTGACCACACCCTCTGTCCATCCCCCAACTTCCACCAACCAGGCTCTAGTAACCACTGTTCTACTCTCTGGTTCTATGAGATCAACTTTTTTATCTTCCCCATATGAGTGAGAACTTGTGGATGTGGTATTGCTCCCTCTGTGCCTGGCTTATTTCACTTACCATAGTTTTCTCCAAGCTCATCCATGTGCTGCAAATGGCAGAATTTTTTTTTTTATGGCAGTGTAGAATTCCATTGTGTATATGTACCACATTTTCTTTATCCAGTCATCCATGAAAGGACATTTAGATTGGTTCCAACTCTTGGCTATTGTGAATAGGGCTGTGGTAAACATAGGGGTGCAGGTGTCCCTTCAGCTTGTTGATTTCCGTTCCTTTTGATGTATATCCAGTAGTGGGATTGCTGGGTCATATGGTAGTTCTATCTGTAGTTGTTTGAGAAATCTCCATACTGTTTTCCATAGTGACTGTGCTAATTTTATTCCCACCAACAATGTATAGGAGAGTTCCCCTTTCTCTGCATCCTCTCCAGCATTTGTTATTTTGTCTTTTTAGTAATAACCATTTTAACTGGAGTGAGGTGATATCTCATTGTGGTTTTGATTTGCATTTCTCTGATGGTTAGCAATGTTGAACATTTTTTTCATATGCCAATTGGCCAATTTTGTATGTCTTCTTTTGAAAATGTCTATTCACTTCTTTTGCCTGCTTTTTAATTGGATTACTTGGTTTTATACTGTTGAGTTGTTTGAGTTCTTTTTGTATTTTGTATATTATGATATTAATCGCTTATCGGATGCATACTGTGCAAATATTTTCTCCCATTCTGCAAGTTGTCTTTTGACTCTGTTGATTGTTTCCTTTGCTATGCAGAAGCTTTTTAGTTTAATATAATCCCAATTGTTAATTTTTGCTTATGTTTCCTGTGCTTCTAAAATAGCATTCGTAAAGTTTTTGCCCAGACATATATTCTGAAGTATTTCCCCTATGTTTTCTTCCAGAAGTTTTATAGTTTTGGGTCTTACACTTAAGTCTTTAATCTCTTTTAAGTTGATTTTGGTATATGATGAGAGGTAGCTGTCCAGGTTCATTCTTCTGCACAAGGATATCCAATTTTCCCAACATCATTTATTGAAGAGGCTGTCCTTTCCCAAATGTATGTTTTCTGCACCTTAGTCAAAGATCAGTTAGCTGTAAGTATGTGGATTTATTTCTGGGTTCTCTATTCTGTTTCCATTGGTCTAGTTGTCTTTTTTATGCCAGTACCATACTGGTTTTGGTTACTGTACCTTTGTAGTATATCTCGAAGTTAGGAAGTATAATGCCTACCACTAGATTCTTTTTACTCAGGATTGCTTTGGCTATTCAAGGTCTAAGGTCTTTTGTTGTTCCATATGTATATTAGGATTTTTTTTTTTTTCTATTTCTGTGAAGTATGTCATTGGTATTTTGACAGAGATTGTGTTGAAAAAGGTCTTTTGTTGTTCCATATGTATATTAGGATTTTTTTTTTTTCTATTTCTGTGAAGTATGTCATTGGTATTTTGACAGAGATTGTGTTGAAACTGTAGATTACTTTAGGTAGTATGGTCGGTTTCACATTAATTCTGCCAATCCATGAGCATGGAGTGTCATTCCATTTTTTTGTGTCCTCTTTAATTTCTCTCATCATAGAGATCTTTCACCTCCTTGGTGAAATTTATTCCCAGGTATTTTGTTTTTCTGATAGCTATTGTAAATAGGATTGCTTTCTTGATTTCTTTTTCTGTCAGTTCATTGTTGGCATATAGAAACACTACTGATTTTTGTATGTTGATTTTGAATCCTGCAACTTTACAGAATTTGTTTAACAACTTTAAGAGTTTTTGGTGGAGTCTTTAGGTTTTTTTAATATATAAGGTAATGTCATCTGCAAAAAAGGATCATTTAGCTTTCCTTTTCCAATTTAGAAGTCCTTTATTCCTTTCCCCTTGCCTAATTGCTCTGTCTAGAACTTCTAGTACTGTGTTAAATAGGAGTGATGAGAGTGCACATCCTTGTCTTGTTCCTGTTCTTAAGGAAAAACTTTCAGCTTTTCCCCATTCAGGATAATGTTACCTGTGGGTTTGTCATATATGGCTTTATTTTGTTGAGATTCTTTCCTTCTATACATATTTTGTTGAGAATTTTTATCATGAAGGATGTTTAATTTTATCAAATGCTTTTTCTGCATCTATTAAGATAATCATATGGTTTTCATCCTTCATTTAGTTGATGTGGTTTATCACATTTATTTATTTGCATATGTTGAACCCCTGTTGAGTTCCCAGGATGAATTCCACTTGATCATGATGTAGAATCTTTTTGATGTGCTCTTGAATTCTGTTTGCTAGTACTTTGTTGAGAATTTTTACATCTAACTTCATTAATGATATTGACCTGTCATTTTCTTTTTTTGTTGTATGTTTGGCTGGTTATGGTATCAGTGTGATGGGGGCTTCATAGAAGGAAATTGAGAGAATACCCTATGCTTTAATTTTTTTTAATAGTTTGAGAAAAATTGGTATTAAATCTCATTAAATGTTTTGTACAATTCAGCAGTGAAGCCGCCTGGTCCTTGGCATTTCTTTGTTGAGAGACTGCTAATTACTAATTCAATCTCATTGCTCAATATCGATCTGTTCATGCTTTCTATTTAATCTTGGTTGAGTCTTGGTAGGTTGTATGTGTCCAGAAATTTATCCATTTCCTATAGATTTTCCAATTTTTTGATGTATAGTTCCTAGTAGTCTCCAATGATTCTTTTATTTTGGTGGAATCAGTTGTAATGTGTCCTTTTTCATTTCTGATTTTTTTTATTTGGGTTTTCTGTCTTTTCACAGTTAGTCTAGCTAAGAGTTTGTCAAATTTTTTTTATCTTCTCAAAACAAGAACTTTTTTTCATCAATCTTTTGTATCTTTATTTTTGTTTCTATTTCATTTAGTTCTGCTCTGATCTTTCTTATTCCTTTCTGTCTACTAATTTTGGGGTTGGATTATTCTTGCTTTTTTAGTTCCTTGAGGTATAACATTAGGTTGTTTATTTGAGATCTTTGAACTTTTCTGATGTAAGCACTTGTTACAATAAACTTCCAACTTAGTACTTTTTTGCAGTATCTCATAAGTTTTGGTATGTTGTGCTTCTATTTTCATTTGTTTCAAGAAATGTTTTGATTTCCCGCTTTATTTCTTCTTTGACCCAAAGGTCATTCAGGAGCGTTTTGTTGAATTTCCATGTATTAGTATAGTTTCCAAAGTTTAGCTTGTTATTGATATCTAGTTTTATTCCATTGTGGTCTGAAAAATACTTGATATGATTTCAGTCTTTTTAAATTTGTTGAGACTTGACTTGTTGCCTATCATAGTCTGTCCTAGAGAATAATCCATGTACTGATAAAAAGAATGTATATTCCATAGTTGTTGGATGAAATGTTCTATAAATGTCTGCCAAGTCCATTTGGTCAAAAGTGCCTTTTAAATCCAATATTTCTCTGCTAATTTTTTGTCTAGATGATCTGTCCAATGCTGAGAGAGGAGTGTTGAAGTCCCCAACTATTTTGT